CAAATTTTCGATTAACGCAACAAATGATTGAAAAGATATGGGAACTTTTTTGTCTTCAGTTGACATGAGTACACATAATGGCAATAATGCGACCGTAAAAGTGAATTAAAAGCGAATTAATGTTTTACAAAAGTGTCTTTGAAAACGACAATGTTTTTCACTTCCAATGTTGAACTTATCGATAAGAATTGAATGTTTCAATGAATTTGGATGCAAAACACTTTTGGATATACTGTTCACTACTGTATGTGTTTATTCACTATAAAAGACTTGACAACAACTTTTCAAAATGACTTCTCGACAAAAGTCTGTACGAAATGATAAAAACTTGAATTGCGATTAATGTGTAAATGAAGTGAAAACCTGATTGCAAGGCACAGAATTCAGCACAAGATCGATCTGGTTCTCAACCGCTCCAATTGGGCGCCTAACTAACCTATCCCTCAGTTATATACCCTAACAATCACACCAAACGCTGTGCACACCATTACCTGACTATACCTGATTGCTATGGTGTGATCAACACGTGGACATTCAGATTCTTGTCCAATATCTATGCGTTTAGTTTGAGGCCATCCATGCATTACATGTATATTAATTGATGGATGTGTAGAATCACGTCAAGGATTCTACACAAATATATCTGTAGTTTTACTTTGAAAGTTGTTTTTACAACAATTTTTTAACTTTAACTTTAAAATATTAAATTTCTCTCCGAATGATTGGTGAATAAAACGCTGTTTCAAACAACGTTTGTAAGTCATTGCCAGTAGTAATGGCAATAGTTTTGTAAAAGTACATATGATCACTTTAAATGCATTTAAAATTCATTTTATAAATCGTTGGAATTTGTCCATCAATTAAATTTCTTTTTATTATTAAAATTTTTAAATTATTGAAAAAAATATAAATAAAAATTCCCTAAAATATAAATTTCAGATAAGAATATAAATATATTGTTGGTATGAAAAACCCTTCACTAGAATGGCATACGTGTCTCTCATCTCATATGAGTCCATAATTTTGTGTGCATTTATGAAAAAAAATTTGAAAACAAAAATAAAACCTCAAATGATAAATATTGAATGCCTTATACGGCAATAGGAGACCGATATTCACATCTTAAATGCAATTATGAATTTTGTTGATTGACATACTTTACTATACAACTTATTTTTGCCCCAACTGTTAATGTAATGTAAATATGAATTAGTTTTTTAATAGATTTTGTGTCAAACAATATTAATTTTATTTATAAATATGCAAATATTTATTATATAATCTTTGTGTTTGTTTTTAAATCGTAAAAATTAAATTGCGAAAGCTTCAAATTTATGCGGTTAATTATAAATTCAAACAATGTAACCATAAACTTTTTACTTCTATTATATTTAAATAAATTTCTATTTACGTCTACAACTCATATGATTATAAATTTACATTTTTTATTCCACTCTATCAGCGGTTTTAACGTTAATTTTTAAACATTAAAATTAGTTATTTAACGATTTTTATATTCACATTATAAGTTATTATGAAATATTAGTTAAAATAATATTTTTATTGCTTTTTAATTCTTTTCTTATCGATCAAATGTACCATGGTCGATATACACGTAAATACACGATACAGCGTGAGATAATAATTTCTATATAATTTTACTTTAAATTTCATAACGACAAGTTTATAATTGAATAATTTAACTTTATGCTTTAAAAATTTGTAAAATCGTAAATTTTATAATTATTTTAAATTATTTTTATAAATAACTTTTTATTTAATATTTAACCATTACTTTAATGCCAAAAATATTAAATAATTAGCTTTCATTATACATAAATTGGATTATAAACAAATAAAATTAAATGAAATAACAATTAATCAAAGCAATAAACATGAATTAAATAGTAATCAGTTTTACTAATTGCGGCTACGATTTGCACCCCGATTTGCGCCCCGATTTCTTCCCTGACTGTTTTGAGTTCCACCTATTATTACATTCATATTTAATGTGCATTTTTAGATTAGACTAATATAATTTATATTAGTCTAATATCTTATATTATATAAACATTCTTGGATTCAACTAGATAGTTCAAAAGGCATACCATTATCACCACTGGATCCATCGCCACTTGTGGTCACTCCGCGATTGCATTCCTGGTCCTTCTGGATCTCATTCACTCCCAGATCTCCTTCGGGAACGACATCGGACTGAATGGCGGCGCCGTAACAGACGGTCGACACCACCAGAAGAGCGCACAAAACAATTAATACTTTCATTTTGATAATTATTTATAATTTTGTTCATTTGTCAATTCTTTTTATAAATAAATTTATAAGTTATAAAACTAATTAAAAGTTATTTTTGATTTCAGCTTTATTTACATTGATATAATTAACTCATATAATTTATTGATTATTAAATTAATTAGTGTTGATACAGTTGTTATTCAACCTTTTGCATTTTAACAAAATACGTGCAAAATTATATTTTCAATTTTGAGTGTTTTTTAATAAAAAATATTCAATATTAAATCCAAACGATCGTAAATCTAAAAATAGTAAACACTTTTAAACTATAAATAACTTATAAAAAACAAAATTAAATGAAATAACAATATTTTATTAATCAAAGCAACAAAACGATTGAATTAGATTGTCATCGGATTTAGTTATTTTTCGCACGACCACCACTACCACCACTACCTCCACGACCACCCCGTCTTCCCTGACTGTTTTGAGTTCCACCTGTCAATACATTCACACATTATTAGGCATTTTTAGATTGGATTTAATCAAATATGATTAAACTAAATCAACATGTTAAATCAAAAGTCGTACCTCCAGTGCCGCCATCAGTGCCGCCATCACCACCAGTACCCCCTCCACCGCCACCGCATTCCTGGTCCTTCTGGATCTCATTCACTCCCAGATCTCCTTCGGGAACGACATCGGACTGAATGGCGGCGCCGTAACAGACGGTCGACACCACCAGAAGAGCGCACAAAACAATTAATACTTTCATTTTGAATAATTGAATGCAATTTTTATCATTTGTTAACTCTCTTTATATACCATTTAAATGTAATAAAATTAATTTACAGTGATTTGTGTTTTCAGCTTAATTAATACTAAAATCATTTAAACTTAATGATTTATACATTTTTTTAATTAATAAAAATGTTTATTCAGGTGTTTTTACTTTAATGTTCAAAATAATTAAATTTAATTATTACACAATTTCCAAATAAACCACACAATTCATTGTACTTAATATGTGTTCATAATAAATTATTTGATCTAGTGCATTTCGTATTATTGTACTTTACATTATAAAGAAGTGTACTGCTTAAAGAATATCTATGTATTATTTAAATTATTTATTTTATAATTATTCATTTATTTATTTAAACTTAAATATTATGTCTATTGTACAGATGATTGCAATTCTTTGAAATTCAACATAAATTTACAATGAAATCAATAACTAAAATTTTATTACTCAAACAAAACCAATACATACAATAAATCTATAATTAAATTAATAGCATCCAATTATTTGCTTTATACTTAATTCAATTAATAATCTATTTCTATAAATATTATCCATTATTATTACGTCGACGACGTCTTCGCCTGCCGGCAGTGTTAGCCTCTAATAATCAAAGCAAGCATTTTATTGCAAACATATTATAACTTATAATCAAAATAATTTCATAAATACGTGTCGGTCTGACTCGACGAAGACGTCGTCTTCGTTGGAATCGTTGTCTTCCAAACAATCGTGGATTCAATAAACCAAAGAAAAACTTTTGGTCGTTTTGATTGACATCCGATGGACTAATAAATGTGTTTAAATCGTTAAACTTTTCATTCATTACAATTTCACCCTTTCTTTCATAGTTTTCTTCCACAAAATTTTCAAACGTATAATTAATTGCACACAAAATTATTATTATATTTAGTAATAGATTGACCATAATTTTTGTCACCAAAATAATTTAAAACAGATTCAAAACTCAAACATTAATTAATCATTTAGTATTTATTTCAAATTTACAATTAAAATTATTTAAGAATTAAATGAACCTTTATTAAATTTGGATATTAATTTATATTTATTCAGTTATTTAGTTTGACCTTAAAATTTTATTATAATAATAATAAATAATAAATATAATATGCTTAAAGATTTTGTGTGCAAATTAGTCTGCTATTTAATTCAGTAATTAACAAACAAAAAAAATAACTGTAATTGATAACATAATTACAATTGTAATAGGCAACATAGCAACTAATTACTGTTTAAATAGTTATTTTGTTCAAATAATACCGTTTAATTGTACCAAAGACTTGGAATATCCTTGGCCAAGATGTATCAAACAATACAATTTATAACCTAGTTACTTATATTTTACAGTATTTTGATGTTTATACTTAATTTTAGGTATCAATTCATGGTCTATTGTAGAAGTGCTGATAAACTTTCAATATTATCAGTGTATTTAACAGTCTGTTGAATAAATGTTTAATAAAATGCCAAATTAAAAACAAATTAATTATTAGTAATAGTCTATTACAATGTTTTTCATACCACTTTAATTATTGTGTGTCTAGTTTTTACTATTTAATTGCATATCAATTATAACAGTAATGTCTAATTAGACTTTGACATTAGGATGGACAGGTTTGGGTCGCTTTTTTCGCTTTCTACTGACCGGGCCTTTTGGTTCGGATCGTAATGTACTCGCTGTCGCTGTTTCATGCAATTAACCAATCATTTATAAGTTATTATAAGATATAATTTATAGCTTCATTCATAATAATACAGACCTTGTGTCGGTTGGGATGTAGTCCTTCTCCGTCTCCTTCTTCGTGGTCGACGCCTTCGTCTAATGAAACGGCGGACAACAAAAAAGCACTTTTGGTCCTCGAGTTTACCACTCAATGAATTCAATTCCAGATTCTTTATAACAACTCTTTTTGTTACAAACAACTGATTGTCATTATTTTCATCCAATAAATTCCCGAAACAATTAGAGTTTAGATACAGTATTACTATAAATATCGTTAACAATGAATTAAAATGATATGAATTAATAGAAAATTTTAGACAACAATTCATGTCTTGATTTTATTTACTAAAATAAAACCAAACAAATTCCACTCTTTTCTCAGATATTCATTTCCTATAAATTGTTTTGCATTATATATTATAGATATGTATTGATTCAGTGGTTGTTTTTGTACAATCATTAAGATATATAATTAATTTTACACACTTCTACATAGTTTCCGTGTAAATTAGTCATATGTTTTAATTTACTAGTTGGTTTATTTATTTTAAAGTTTGAATCCTGAATTCTTTACTACTGTTTTAGTTCAATATTTAGAGATATCACGAACAGTATTATTATGTGCATTTAGTACTCAAGACCAGGATATTACAATTACAACAATTTAAAATTTATTTATTAAAACAGATTACATCTACAGTATATGGTTTTAAATCAAATGTGAAAACAGCTAGTGTATGTTAATTAAACAGTTACTATAGTAGATTAAAAAACAAAGGCATGAGATTTCATACAAAAATACAATATCAATTGATTATAAATAAGTTATTTAAATAAAAAATATTAGCCATTTTTGGGTTTGCGTCGTTTTACGGGTCGTTTCTGTTTTTTCTTTCTGCGGGCCGGAGCGCCTTCCGGTGCAGCCGTTGTTGTCGCTGTTTAATTCAATTAATTATTTATAACTTATAAATATAATCTAATTAATAATGATAAACAATTTGACAGACCGGGTGTTGTAGTCCTTCTCCTTCTCCTTCTTCGCCGAATACCTCTCCGTCTAATGAATCGGCGGATAAAGAAAAAGCACTTTTGGTCCTCGAGTTGACCACTCAATGCATTCAATTCGAGATCCTTTATAACACCTCTTTTTGTTACAAACAACTCATTGTCATTATTCTCGTCCAATAAATTCCCCAAACAATTGGAGTTTAAATACAGTATTACTATGAATATCGTTAATAAATTAAAATGATATGAATTGATAGAAAACTTTAAACAACAATTCATATCAATTCTTATTTATAAGAATAAAACCAAACAAATTATATTCTTTATCAGATATTCATTTCCTATAAAATGGTTTACATTATATATTATGTAATTATGTATTGATTCAGTGATTGTATTCGTACCATCATTAAGAAATATAATTAATTTTGTAAACTTCTACATAGTTTTTGTTTAAATAAGAACTTTATTTTAAATTTTCAAATTAATAAATAATTTATTTGTTTTAAATTCTTTACAATTTTGTATAATTGCTTTAAATTCAATATTTAGAGACATCACAACTGCATTAGAGGTTGCTTTTATCATTAAGGATTTGATTACACTAATTACTAAATAATTATACTATGGCTTAATTGAAATAAAATATACTGTAATTATAAACTAATTATAATAATTTAAAATATAATTTTAATCAACAATATGTTAAAAATATGACTTCCTTGTGGCAAAAATAACTCAAAGAATATGAAAAGTATTTAAGCAGTGTATTTTACTGTTATTTATTTAATGAATACTATTTGCTTAATAATTATAAAAAATAAATTGTAACATTGTATTAATTTTTTTAATAACTTTATGTAATTTTATATTTATAAAATTTTAACTATAATAAAAAAATACAACGTAAAATCAAATATAACAAGTAATATTTTGTTAATAACTGTTATTAACTACGGTTATCCTCTACGGGCGGCACCGGCCGGGGCCACAGTCGTCGCTGTTTAAAACAATTTAACAATTCATTAAATAAAATTATATTAAAATAATATTAAAATAATAATTTGCAAACTTGTTGTTGTGGTAGTTCTTCGACGACGGCGTCTAAAGCGGCGGATAAAGAAAAAGCACTTTTGGTCCTCAAGTTTACCACTCATTGCATCAAATTCTAGATTCTTTATGACATTTCCTTTCGTTTCGTACAATCGATTGTCGTTATTCTCGTCCAAAAAATTGCCCAAACAATTGTCACTCAAAAACAATACTACTATAAATATACTCAATAATAAATTAATAAAATATATTTTCAGACAACGATTCATATCAGAAAATAGTCAAATTAAAATGCGAAATAAATCCGACAATTTCCTGTGAACAAGACATTAATATTAAGTTCATATAAATTATTTCACATTATATATTGTAAATATGTATTTATTCAGTAGTTGTTTTTACAATCATTAAGAAATACAATTAATTCTCAATCACTTCTCAATTAATTATTTCTCTTAATTATAGTTTTTGTTTAAATAAGAATTTTGTTCTAGTTTTCAAAACAATAAATGGTTTATTTGTAGAAAAGTTTTGCATTTTGTAATCGCTTTGACTCTAATTAGAGATATCCCAAACTGCATGAAAATTTACATTTCTCAATTAATAATCGGTATAAGTAATATTGAATGTAAAATTACCAAGTATAGTTCAAATAAAACTACTTGACATGGTTATTTTCGCCCTGGTGCGGCCGTAGTTGTGGTGGTTGTAGTGGTGGCTGTTTTCAATAATCAATTAATTAATTATAAATACTGTATGTTTAAAATAATAATGAATTTGTCAGACTTGTTGTGGTAGTAGTTCTTCGACGACGTCTTCGTCTAAAAAATCTAAGAAATTGAAAGCACTTTTGGTCCTCAAGTTTACCACTCATTGCATTAAATTCTACATTCTTTAAGACATTTTCTTTTGTACCGTACAATCGGTTGTCGTTATTCTCGTCTAAAAAATTCCCAAAACAATTGGGATTTAAATACAATATCACTACAAATATAGTTAATAATATATTAAAATAATATAAACTATTAGAATGTTTTAAATGGTAATTCATTTTACAAATTTATTTGAAAAAATAAAATGCGAAATAAATGCGAAAATAGTCTATGATATATAAGACATTAATATTCAGTTCCTATAAATTGTTTTACATTATATATAAAGTTTTATTTAGCATTATAAATATGTATTGATTCAGTCGTTGGTTTCGTGTAAGAAATATGAATAATTTTCAATACAATTCTACATAGTTTTTGTTTAAATAAGTACTTTGGTTTAGTTTTCAAATTAACCAACGTTTATTTGAACTACAGTTTTGAATACTTTCTAATTATTTTGATTCAGCATTTAGTGATTTCACAATCTACATGAAATTTTACATTTCGCAATTACTTAAGCATACAATGAATAAAAATATAATAATTAAATTAACAAAGATCGGAATCTCGCGATATGAAAAAACTAACCGAAAATTTAAAAATTAAATACAAAGTGATAACAAAAATTCAAACACAAACACAAACCAGACATGAATTTAATTTCATTCATATGGAGGGTCTGTTCGGTGGGAACTCATGCTTTTGGGTGTATTGTCTATGGATTTACAATATTCTACCAAATGGTGACAAACGATCGCAGCGATCCTCGATCTACATATGTCGGAGACTTTAAATATTTGGTTAATAAACATATTTATAAAACATTGAATTCTGTTTTAAATTATAGCTAACNTGTCGGAGACTTTAAATATTTGGTTAATAAACATATTTATAAAACATTGAATTCTGTTTTAAATTATAGCTAACTTTTTTTGTTAACTTTTGTTTCAGACGTATTGGAATCTGGTATTGAATTTTGCGAAACATTTGTCTAAAATGTCACTAATTTATATGAATCCTATGCATAGCTCTTTCAATTCGTTTTCAATTCATTGAGTTTTGTCGGCGATTTGCTCATCGATCGCAATGATAGCAAAAGTTATACACAATTTCTGGACTCATTCTTCCATTGCGTTTGCCTTCCCTTCTCAATGGTTTGACATTTATTCAATAAATAGCATATAATTCACAATCAATTGATTAAAACTGAATTCACTTTCAGTTCGTTTGCATAGCCTTTTGGTTGTTGAATAGTCTCGACGAGAAATCTGTTAGGGATCCAAACGTCAACAACCGGTACCCCAATTGGTATAATCACATCACTGTATGTCTTCAATTAGATGAACACAAACACCAGAATAACTAACAAAACTAATCGCCCATATATTTAGCACACAGTGAACGGACCGATGAATGTGATCGAGTTGATAGTGTCCTACCATCGGGAGCCACAACACGGTCACGCCATCCTTGTCCTCCTCACACTATATGTACTCTATTTCCTTCTGTTGCTATTTATGGGCACTTTTGTCGATCTATGGATTTATCCATTTCTCGCTAAACTCTATTGGAGTCAACGGATTATGTTTGCCATCGTTTGCGGAATCGTTTTAATCATTTTCTATATCTCCGGTGTATTTCTCAACAAATTATTTTGGCCTCCAATTAGAGTCACGGCATTCGCACGACTCCACAATCCGACCATCAAATAGATTCCCTCTCTTTCCATCATAAAAGTCCATTCATTACTATTATATCCACTGTTTGTATGCAATTTTCACGCCATTTGTTAGCATAAAAATCAATTTTAACGCTCGTTTCAATACAATTAAAAAAAGTTTAATTCAGTTTTAATAAGCGGTTATAAACTTGTTTTTTTGTGCAAAAAAGTTTTTTGACTTCATATTTAATAACAAGCATTACTTATACCATAAATCTTATAGTATTGCAAATAAACTAACAATTATTTAAGGTGGAGTCAGTTTGAGATAAATGTCTTCATGTGATAACACTTCCCGATGGCCACAGAGTTGTCCGCAAAGACACTCATACTTACCATACAGTGAATGCCAATACAGACACCGACACTAATAATGAGGTCATACTGTACTCCACATA